CACACACACACACACACACACACACACACACACACACACACACACACACACACACACACACACAGTTTATTATTTTAGGATGTTGCTGCCATGAGACACAGCAGCAAACAGGACGAGGTCGGCTTGTTTTTGTCTTGACCCTGACATCTAAAACCACCATAAAAAACAAAGAAAACAATCCTTTTTTTCCATTTAGGGCACAACGAGCCTTCTGTGAGTGCAGCTGAAACCTCGATTCTCTTTCATCTGAATCAAGACTGACAGCAGTTTAATTTCAGAGTGGTCAGCTCTGTGAGGGAGAGGGGCTAAAATAAGCTCTGCTTATTAACAACCACCAGGAGGCTACTGTCATACTATCACAAAGCTAACGGTTGTAAAGCTAAAGCAAAAACAGTTTAAGTGAAAGCTCACTGTTTTAGCTCTGAATGGATTAGGGTTGGGCAATATTGGCAGAAAAAATAATCACGATTAATTATGGTATTTAGGCTATACATCATATTTACATTGTGTTGATAGATAAATAAATTACAGAATTTTATTTTTAATGTTCGTCATATTTGAAGTGGAGAGGAGCATCGAGCGGACCGACCGGAGTAATTTCCTGTCTGCCTGGTGGCATTAATCGTATTAATCTTCAAGTGCCAAAAACTAATTGATTAATGTTTTTCTGATGATTAATTGCACACGATACGATCATGCCCAAACCTAGAATGGATGCAGATCCATTTCTAGCTGAACACTCGTGCATCCTCTCCTTCGTGCCAAATTAGGTGTTTGTAAATCTACTCTCACTTCAAAACTTACATCAAAGAGAATATTTGAACCTGAAAATGGTACCACCACCTTCTGCTGCTTATCCACAGCTGGGTCAAGGAGGCAACAGGTCCAGGAGAGAAACCCAGACATCACTCTTCCCAGCTCATCCTGGGAGACCGGAGGCTTTCCTAAGCCAAAGAGGACACATAATCCCTCCAGTGAGGTCTTCCTCGGGCCCTGCAGTGGGACATCCTCAGAACACCTCTAAAATCAGATGTCCAAACCATCTCAACKGACTCCTTTCGATGAGGAGGAACTGCGGCTCTACTCTGAGCTCCCCTCGTATGTTGGAGCTCCTCACCCTGCCTCTAAGGCTGAGTCCAGCCACCGTACAAAGGAAGCTTGTTCCAGCCGCTTTGTCTCGTTATTTCGGTCATGATCCACGCCTCATGACCATGGGTGAGAGTTGGAATATACAGACCAGTAAATTGAGAGCTTTGCCTTTCAACTCAACTCTTTCTTCACCATGACCGACCGAAGCAACGCCCTCATTACTGAGGATGAGGCTCCAATCTGTCCATTCATCTCCTGCTCCATCCTACCATCACTCGTGAACAAGATGCACAAATACTTATACTTTGGTGTTTGCTCACTAACCCTTTAAATCTTTTCATTTTATTTGATCATTTTAGTCATTTTATTTAATTTTACCCTGAACTGATACTGATCCAGCCCGTTACCCTGACAGGGTAAGCGTTGAGAATAAACGTTAAAGTGCCCCGCAGTTCTCTCCTTTTAGCAGCTGTCAATATGAAGCTGCTTAGTCCCCCTGGAAACCAAACGTCAGCCAGATCTTGAGTGATTGATTTCCAATAAGTGAGATAATGAAAGGAGCGCACACAGAAGAAGTCCTTTGGCTCTTAGCATGATGAGTTATGATGGATCTCTTTAACCCGTGGCTTCCATGGCTCAGGACTGTCAAAGAGGGAAAACTCATTTGAGGTGTCTCACTGAAAGACAAACACGCTGTAATCACAGCTAATCTATAGCTCATTCAAAGCCTTTCTTCTGCTGCAGAGCAGGTTTTCTTTTTGAAAAGCAAGCAACACAAGCTTCATTAAAAATGACAAACAAAAATCTAACATTTTTATTTCTTAGTTTATTTACTTGTTCCTGCTGAAGACTATGTGTGTTTAAATCAATGCTGAAGAAAGAAGCAACCTTGAAAATACATTTTTAATTGAGCATGGTCATTATTACCTCATGTTGAACAGAAACAGATGCCATGTTCTGTTACCGTTTCCCTGTGAAACCCCAAATAGAGCTGAAAGCAAACACATACCTGCTTCTACCATCTGTCACTCTGTGGGGATTCAGTAAGTTCAGAATGTTTTGTGGAAAAATAAAAAAATATATATGCTGTTTAAAATATTGGCTTGTTCCTGCTGAAGAGTGTGTCTGTCACTTTAAAATCAATGTTGAATGAACCCTGCAGTCTCGACAAGATTTAACCTTTCTCTAATCGCCTATATTTCAGAATAAATTACAGATTTAAATTTGTGATTATAGTATAAAATTTGATTATCTAATAAAGCATACAGTTTTGAGTTCCTACCAAAAACTGACCCTATTTTGATTGGGGCCAAAGCAACCCTGTCCTGCCTCAGCTGGGCTCTGAATTCACAGCAGCAACAAGCTGAAGACTTCCCACAGAAGCTTGGTGGCCCCGGTTAGTTGCTCTCTTTGACATGTTTTTGGATGTGACGATGGTTTTCCGTGGCTGAAAAAATAAAAAGAACTGAAGGGATTTCCTGGTATGTGTGGGGGTAAGTGTGTGTCTTTCTGCATTTAGGTGACACACTTTATGCATCAGATGCCCTACCTAAGTGTCCTAATTATAAAGTACACACAAAAAATATATTTACAGATCATGTGCATGAAAATTATTTGTAAGTAGTGCAACCCTAAAAATTTTAATGATTTTAATTTGAAAAGGTTGTAGGTACAATAGATCCAGTAGATATATTTTTAATGTACAGTTTACAGCATAAATCTCTATTTTGTGATAGGTTCATTAGAACATTATGTTCATTACTGTAATTCACATACAAAATGTTATCCTCTTTATATTTCTAACAAACTTTATTCTTAAAAGACTGATGTCTGCCTGTCTCAGGGAGAAATCACAAAACCCACAGTTAAAGTACTTATTTGGTCCGCTGTTTGATACAGTTTATATTTGTTTTATTTAATCTCGTAACCTCATCTGAATTAAGCCCTATAATTTATATTGTTCTTTGTTGGATTGACTTTTCTAATCAGCTGCTGTATAATGATTTTACATTTAGAATAAGTGAAGTAAAATTTAAAGTCATAAGGGATGCAAACAATTATTATTCGATGAATAGATTAAAATTTGTTGCATATGATTTCCTGAAGACTCTGTTTCAGAGTCAAAAGTAGAGACTTCAAATGTTGCCCCAGAGGTAAGCAGGTTTCATCCACAGAAAATACCTAGAGACCAGTTAGATGCACTTAAGAGTAAAAAATTAAATAAAAAAATCTTCTTTATTTTTTTAGATTCAGTTAGTGCAATCTGCAGCAACAAGAGCAACATAAATAATCATAAAAATTAATTAATTAGTAATAATTTCACATCTCTCTGCTCATGGTGGATTGAGTGTTTCACATATTTTATTTATTTCTCCATTCAGCAACATAATAGCTTTCATTTTTGTTATATTTTACAAAATGTCCAAGTTTAATAATGTGTGAGAAATCCATATTTTTTTGTTTATTCAGTCAGTATTTAATACAGTTATATATGCTGAGTAAGAGTGTTGTAAGGTGTGCGTTGTTTTTGGTAAAAAAAATGTGCACAGAACGAGAGGCAAAAAACAGTTTTTTGGCAGCACTGACAGTCCTGCGACCTTCATGCTGACAGGCCACAGCTCAAACCGCTTCACCTCTCTGCCACCCGAATAAGAACATGAAAATACAAAAACCTAAAAACTGCCAGGCTGAACAAGAATCAGAAAACTGATGCAAGGAGAATCAATAAAGTGAAGGATTCAAATGGAGCTGAAGTAAAAAAATACACAGACAGACTGTAACACAGGCTTGACCTTCATCATCTCTCCTAGGATCATAAACTAAAGAGGGTCTGTTGTTGCTCATCAATTACAGTATTGACCAGAGTAGAAACGACTCATATTTACCTCATCGAACCTGTCGAAGGAGGCACCTTCCTGCATGAACTCCGGCAGATGCTTCTGCCAGTTGAACTCATAGGATTTTGTCATGGCTGCTCACAGACCTGAGGTGCACAAAAAAAAAAAAAAACAATAGTTAAAAAGATAAAATGAAATATTAAAAAGGAACAGCAGCTCTTAGAATGTATTGTAGACGATTAAAAACACTCTCATGTGAAGCAGAAATGTCCTAGACTGATTAGTTATTGGTTTATTTTGGATGCTAATGCATCCTGTAGCATTAGTTTTTATTATTTTAAAGCCATGTTTTTTTCCTGCCTTGGAATGAATGATCATGATCCTGGCTTTCAGTTCAAAGATTGTAGTTTCTGTTCAGGTTCATGAAAACAGAAGACTGGCAAAATGACTAAAATAAAATTAAATAATTTATAGCGCATATTATGCTTTCTAGATGTTTTCACACAGACTGCAAACCAGAAATGTTTAGAGACGTAATGGACACGTAGCAATCAAAACATCCACAACTATTTCCACCATGGTCCTGACTGTCAACAGAGACCATGTGGAGTTTGTTGAATCCTGCTTCTTTCCATGTTTTATTAACCCTTACGCTGTTTTCACGTTGACACTGTGGTTATGTTGAAGTACACGCTATTTTGATCTCATCACATTTACGAGCTTCATCTACCAAAGCTGTGAAGGAAACCCAGCTGTAAAGCACATGTGTGGACATCAACCTGAGCAGCTGGTCCACAGCTTCCCCTGAACATCTCCTGTGTTTTTGAGTGAAAGGACTTTATAATGACAGCAGTTTAGTTAACCGTTATTGACAATCCAACAGAAGGCCAGCTGAAGCTGTACTATGGCCCAGCTAACAGTTATATATGGGGCCCAGGAGGGTTATAAATGAACTGAAAATTGCCCTTATAAAGGTTTGCTCACAGGCTCTTTATTGTTCTTGGGTAAACTGCCTGCCTCAGCTCACTTATATTGTTGACCCTGGTGAGCTACAGATAAAACGCTAATTTTAGGTCCATGCCTATTTAATAAACAAGTATAACCAATAAAGTAATTAACAGGGCCAGTTAAGGCCAAAACGTTCATAAAAATAGAAACGTCAACGTTCCAGATCCTCATCCTGCATAAAACTGAGCAATTAATTATTTCAGACTTTTTTTTTTTTTGCACTTGAAATGCTGAAATGATGTACTGTGACATAAGGCTGGACAATAATCCAACAACAATATAAATTGTGATTGACACATGATCAATATCAATAAGAAATTTGTCAAATTGAATGTTGATAATTTCATGAACTCCAATCCAAAACCGCAAGGTATTCTGGGGGATGTAGACAGAGAAAAGGCTTTGGCTGCTCCACCTCTCACGGCCCAGCTAAACAAGGTTGGTGGCACTAACTCACTCACTCACTTCAACAACCTCTTAAGTAACATGTAGAAGTTTCATGTTTTGCCACCGTGCCTCACAACTGGTCAAATATAAAAAAAGGATGACGTGAAGTGAAAGAAGAAGATGAGTGCAACAGCTCAAGAGGAAATGGTGGATAAAAGAGGAAAGGTCATGTCACCAGTTTTGGCAGCATTAAGCAGCCTTTTTTCCTCATGGTCCTTTTTTCAAATTTGTAAAACAAAAAAAATAGTCAGTAATTATCAATATCAACAGATATGAAACACTTTTAAGCCATATAAACCAGCCTTCAATGTGTCAGACCAAACTGTGAGGGAGAAGTACTTTTATAGTGGTTGAGCTCAGCTCTTCGAGAGGTCTTGTCTCGACCACTCTGGATAATTTTCTTCATATAAAAACACAAAAAAGCATCCATAATTTTCCCAAGGTATTGTAGATCAGCATTTTATCCTGTTTGCAATTTTCTTTCAGTTATTACCCATTTCAGCTCATGATCAAAGCTTAATAATGACAGGACCAGAATAAAGCAAGATAGACCTTCAAAACACTAGAAAGGTTCCACTGTGGTGTTTGGGTTGWTGAGGCAGAAAAGTTTTGTTTTTACAAATTGGAGTGGTAGTACAGATGGCGTCTCAGTTATTATGGTAGTACTGTGATGTTTGACTGAATTTTGGTTAGCGTGTCTTTGACTGTAGAACTACAGAGGACAGATGGTCTAATGGATATAAAAAACAGCTGGACCAGATTACTACATTAATAAACAGTTAATCAGTACAAAGTGCTTTTTAAATGCGTCTGCCTGTTTGATTCTGGATCTGTGTGTCTAATAACCCTGGCCATGAGACAAAGACTGTTGTCAGTAAGGTCAACAAAGAAAGAGAAAATGTACAAAAATGGGAATACAACAAATAAGAGTTACAGTGGGGAAAATAAGTATTTAGTCAGTCACCAATTGTGCAAGTTCTCCCACTTAAAAAGATGAGAGAGGCCTGTAATTGACAACATAGGTAGACC